GGTGTGTTAATTGGGCTTTTGTATGTGTAAGATGCTTTAAAAAAGGTTGGATCTCTTGCAAATTAAATCAAATCTGAGAAATTAAAGATACCGAAAGACAACATAATTATATTTAAACCTTTTGAAATTATTTTTTTACGACATAATGGCATGAGGTTTTTGTTTCGTGGTACTGATTTTCATTTTTCAGAATTATAAAATAACATACTTTGTAAGTATAATAATATGAAATACAGCAATATGGTGTTGATATGATTCAAAAGTTTGGTTTTTTCCATTAGAAAAATATATATATATTGGAAGTAGACCAGCAGATTTTCCATAATTCTGGTTATAAAATCATTTGTAATGAGGGAGAATTTGGAATAAATGAGAAGATTTTATGTGCAATTTGGTTAAGTGAAAATAGATTATGTAGGATTCTTTTTTTCTTTTTCTTTTTTTTTTTATTAGTACTGACACGTTTCCTTGTTTATAAATTGTTTCTATGCTTTTGTGTCTGCATCCAGTAGGATCTCAATTTACCTGTGGTTGGAAAGGCTCAGTAGTATATTAGGGCTATTTATGGTATTTGGAGTTGAGCAATCATGAAACATTTTGAGTATTTTTAGTAAAACTTTTCTTTTTTTTTTTTTTTTTTTTTTTTTTTTTTTTCTTCCCTAATTTGGGCTCACTTTTACAAGAAGAACTTAATGGAAAAGTGACAATTACATCTTGTATTTTACTGTGATTTTGACATTTATGTACTTCTAATTCACATTATTCACATGGAGAAGTTCTTGCTGTTGGTCACTTTTATATTGTGATTTCTACAAATTTTAAAAAAAGGGAGTTTGTTGGCTCCTTTATAATATTCTAATTACATGTTGTTTGTTGCTTTTCTCATTGAAATCTGCTTTGTATGTTTTTTTTAAGGTGAAATACATAAAATCACAGTATGATAAAATAAGTGTTTCTATTAACATCAGTATGGCTTTATAGGACTGTTGATTAGCTGACTGCAAGAAGGCTTGTTTTATTGGTTGCAACAAAAGTACAATGTTTCAAATGCAAGTTCCAAGTCTTAAACGTTTTAGCCAATTAAATTCATATTGCATACTTTTGTTAGGTTTGTAGTATGTAATGCAGTAGTCTCAGGCTAAAGATCTGATTTGAATAATAGGCATCTTTCATTAAGAAGTTGCATTGTAGTGACACTACTGTTACCTTTTGAATTATTCTGGGGCATAAATAAAGACAGGTTTGTGGGAAGAGGAAAATCTTGGGTTATAAAACTGATCTTATAAAATTTTCATTTATGTAACTGGGCAAGTTTTCAAGTTAATTAAACTGATGTTGCATTTTCTTTTATGTGTAGATTCTAGATTGGTTTGTACAAATCTGTTTAGCACTCAAACACATACATGATAGAAAAATCTTGCATCGGGACATAAAGTCACAGGTATGTAGGTAACTAATTTTTTTTATGGATTTACTTCTGAAGTGATTACATTCATATCTGCTAGTATAAGTTGGCAAATTATGGAAAAAAGTCTTTTTAAGTAAATGCTTCTAACACTGGAAACACTTTTTTCTTCAGAATTGTCTGGAGAAGGTTCATATGATATCTATACAAACAGATGAGACTATCCGACGAAGCTACTTGAGCATTACTCATATATTTCTGTGTGGGGACAGAAAAGGTCTTGTTTTAGAATGCGTAATAGATTTTTCTTTAATTTTTATCAAGTAGGACTAGAGTAAGTCTGGTGTTTCACAGTAGGCACTAACAATACTACCCCTAGTGACTTCTGAGTGATTGAATGGTAAAACTTTATTCTTTCCAAAACGTATTGAGAACAGAAAGTGTGCAATTGTATGAATGTTTTAATTAACAGACTTCTTAAAATTTCTGTATCAAGAATATATTTTTAACCAAAGATGGAACAATACAACTGGGAGATTTTGGGATCGCCAGAGTTCTTAACAGGTAACTCCTTTTTGATGCAGTTTTTTCTGACTTAATTTAAATAGCTTTGATCTGCACAGTTCATGTTAGTTAAGTAGTTAACATTCATTCTTATTTTTTTGTTTAGTACTGCAGAGTTGGCTCGCACTTGCATAGGAACACCATACTATTTGTCACCTGAAATATGTCAGAACAAACCTTACAACAATAAAAGGTACTAATAAGCCTTTAATGAAACATTTTTGGTCAGGAGAAGAAAGTGAATTCTAGAAATCTGAGGCTGTTTTATGCTGGTGAACAGCTGTTAGTTCATCTGTTAACCAAGAAGGTACCAAGTCTCACTGCACGAGTGGGACCTTAGTAGGTCTGTGAAGTACAAAGCAGTGTGATGCAGTGATGAGCTTAATGCTCAAGTTCAAGATCTAGCCTTATTTTTAGTTATGGCTCTACTTTTGCCTAGCTGCACGCCACTTATACTGCCTTAATTTAGGCAGTATAAATGTGAAACTGTTATGGATGAAATCAAACACAGTAATTGGATTCTCTAAGTATGCATAGATAGGTGGCTCAGCTTGCTTCAGATAACAAAGTAATACAGATACCTTGCTTATGTTTGCTGTTCTGGCAGTAGGCTGTATCTGGTAACAATGTCCTTAATGTAATTAAAATGGTCATTATCAAGTTAGCCTTACAGTGTACCAAGTTGCTGCATCTACTGCTGTGAGTGACTTATACTAATTTCAGTTGGTTTCTTAAGAGGTACAAACTATATGGGATTTATTATCCAATTGCATTCTAACCAAATTCTGTAATCCTGTAATGACTGAGGATAAAGCAAGTCAGTGTTAAATAAAGTAAATTGACTTTGAGAATTGCATTTGCTGAACTAGGTGGTGAGTTATGTTTGGTTTTGGTGTTTTTTTGGGGTTTGTTTTTTTTTTTTTTTTTGTTTAATTCAGAGACCTCAGACAAGTGTATGTATTTAAAGAAAAAAGCCTTTGTCTGTATCTTTTCTGATTTCTGATTGGTGTGGTTCAGATGAAAAGGCCTAAATGAAATCTGGAGCCAGAATAACCTCATCTGGTTTTCAGTTGGCCTTACTTTTGGTGGTTGAATTCTCTTTTTTAGTTTGGAGGATGGAAGATGTATATACAAAGGAGTTTGTGCATATTCAAAATACGACCTTTTCCTTTTCAAAGATAGACTTCACAGATGTAAGTTACTTGGCAATGTTACACCTAGAACTAATTCTTATGATATATTCTCTTGATTTAGTGATATCTGGGCCCTTGGTTGTGTTCTCTATGAAATGTGCACACTTAAACATGCGGTGAGTAGAAACTTCTTGTGTCTTTAAAAGAACAGTAATTTCAAACAGGATTTTTTCCTGATGTTACATGAATGTGTCAGTTAATGAAAGCCTTTCGTGGTGGCTGTTTAAAATAACCTTCAACATTTTGATCTTCTCTTCCTATACTGACCAACATTTTCCATCTGTGTTTTGGTTTACACCAATCTCATCAGAAATCTTAGCATTGTACACTTTGTTTGCAGTGTAGGTTTTTAGTGAACTGTATTAGCCGAATAAGTTGTTTGGTGTTATAACAGATGATACTGTAGATAGTGTTCTTTTGAGAAAGTTGACATTTTCATGGAAAGCCTGAATTTGGACTGTTAACTTTTATGCAGATGGATTAATGCATTTTTGTTTAGAACAGGAGTAGTTCTTGGACAATATCCCAAGGTCAGAAGATTGGCTTTTGTTTAGTTTTCATTTTGTTGTGTTTTGTTTTCCTCTGTGTGTGTTGTTCTGAAGACTGTATCTCTATCATACATTTTCCAGTTAGGAAGGCATGAAGGGTATTTTTATTAAAAGAAAAAATATTATAATGACATGAAAATTGGGGGAAAAATTAAAGGATAAGGATTTGATGTTTAACTTTTTGTAATTTCTTACTGCTTGATCTTTTCTGTGTCAATAATGCTGACAATGTTTCCTTTCTTGAGAGTTGATGGCAATAGGTTATTTTCTTTGAGCTGGATCATATGCACTGTTTTCTTTTTATTGTAAATAGGAATTGAAATGGATTCCTTTTGGGTTTTACACTGAATGAGTGTGAATGCTTTACATTTTCATTTGAAATGTGGCTTTGAAAAAGGCCAGAAGGCATGTGATGCTTGAAAGCTTTTTGGGAGAGCAGATCAAGCAGAGAATTATATAATGATTTTATCCTTAATTACATGTCATCATAAGTCTAGATGTGAAGGGAATAATTATTCGTTAGCAAAATGTGTATCTCCGTAGTATGAAATATCTGTGTTAGGATGTATTTATAATCAGAATACTTGGCAGCAAATTATTTTAAACTGCTCGTGTAAACTGTTCATGGCCTTAAATTTGTTTTGGTATGTTGAGGCAAGGGGAGATGTGTTGGCTTCTTGTTTTCCTCATCTTTATATGCAACCTTGCATGTGGACAGACAGTAAGAGAAATGCAGCCATTGTTTTCTTTCTTGCATGATACAGTTTGAAGCTGGTAACATGAAGAACTTGGTACTGAAGATAATCTCTGGACCTTTTCCTCCTGTTTCTACACATTACTCCTATGACCTACGCAATCTGTTGTCACAGTTATTTAAAAGGAATCCTAGGAACAGACCATCAGTCAACTCCATATTGGAGAAAAACTTTATAGCCAAACGGGTTGAAAAATTTCTCACACCACAGGTATGGAGTTACTTTTAATTCTAATTTTGCTGAAGGCATCATAGGACTTCTCTTATTATACTGTTAATATACAACATGAGAAATTGGAGTAATAGTATTCCCAAGAACTTTTATAGGGACAATTTCAGTTGAGGAAAAAAATTTTACTATGAAGTATAAAGAAAAATCTTAAGCTATTTAAGTATGTGGTAGTTTGCAAAACAAATTTAAACTGGTATTTTCTTAAGTGTACTGGTTTGTGTGTTTTTCTATATAATGAGGAATTAGGAGTGAGATGTTGGTTTGTTAAGATACGCATTTTTTCATACAAGCATGCTGTCAATGACTTCAGCATTGCTGATTTATCTTAATTTCTTCAATCCATTTTTTGTTTTGACCTTTGAATGGCCTGAAAGCATGTTCTGTGAAACATTGCCAAGTGAACTGATTTTTAAATTTCTTGATGTTTAAATGCAACATGAGCATATAACCTTGAAGACGTTGTTTACTATTCTGTATCATGTTATAGATACCATGTCCTTTTAATATAAATCTAATCAAAAGAGAAGAAGATTAACAAGTAAGTGATAGGACTGTTATGAATATAGATAGAGAAAGAACATGGAGGAAATGAATGAAAAAGCAGATCTCACGACATATAAAGAGTTCTAATGGATTTTAACTCAAAACTACAGAGATTTCACAGGAAGGCCATATACAATTGGAATTTCAATTGTATATGAAATAGACTTCCAGCTAACAATAGTTTAGATTAAAGTCCCAATTAAAGTATTAAGTGGATAAAGAACTGGCTGGATGGCTGC